TATGCTGCTCATATAACTGACCTAGAAATAACATAGGATTGAGAGTTGAAATCAGAGAATTCAGAGAAATTAATTTAAAAAAACCCATGAAGTTGAAGTACATGGAAATATTTGAAATGTGGTATGGGAAGGAATTATTTTTTAAGCGTACTTCTGGTTTATATTATCCAGAGAATCTCAATGGAATAGCTTTGTATTAATAATATCTCATCTATTATGTATATTGCAATATGCCTAACACAATTGCTGAAGTAATTAGATGCTGCTAATTCTTCTCTTTCTCTTCCCTTTTCTGAGGAGGTAAAGTGATTAGGAGAGTAGTTTAGAGCAAAGTATACATTACATTACAGGCTTCCCACAGATTAGCAGCATCAGCCATTATGTTTCTTCTTTTTATACTTTTACCTAAAAATCTGTGCTTTTCTTAAATTCTTCTTCTTTCTCTTTTTTAATGCCCACTGACTATGTTGTATTATGGCATCGTTGCATTATTTATTTTTTATTACTTAATATTTCACCAGGATTGCATTGTTCTACATACTTTAATACAGTCCTGTTTAAAGCTGTGAAACAAGGAAGATAGGGAATTAAGAAATAGCTGATTAATTCAGAGTTTGCAGACTAAAAATTCAGTAATCTGGATTAAAGAGTCCTGATTTATCCTGTCTATAATTCAAGGACCAAGTTTTGAGGTTCATTTTTTTTTTCTGACAGATGTTGCATAAAGCCTGATGGTTAATAATTAGTTTAAACCTTCTAAGACTGTTTGAAAAGTCATTGGGAAAAATGTAGAGGATTTAGAATCAAATCCGTAAGGCTTGTGCTGCACGAGGGTTTTTTCTTTTTTTCCCCACTGTGCCTCCCTAAGAGATTCCCTCTGTTAAGTCATCACTAAAGCAATCGTGCACTACTTAACAGAGGTGCTATTTTCTACTTCATGTGTCTCCCTATGAATTGTGCAAGAGGCATTAGAGAGCTCTGCCTTCTATCGAACACATAAAAAGGCAGAGCAGGAAAAGCTTCACAGATTTATTACATTCCCTATGCATTGCCTTTCTGGAAGGGAGGGAGAATACTGGCAGTGGGTCAGAGCTGTGAAGCAGCCTAAAAGGATACAGGAAAATCTTGCTAACCCCCAAAGAATTTTGAAGAGCTCCATGCAGCATCCTTCATGATAATGAACTCAATTTTCAGGCATTACTTAGAGGCAGTGTTAGTGAAATCCATTGCAGTGCCTAATTCCTCACCCTTACATGACTTCCAGGTGGAGTTTGTGGGGAGAAAGGCAAGGAATGAACCCTGGGGATGTCCTGGCTGGAGGCTGGTTGCAAATGTCCTTCATGGGGGCACTTCCCAGAGCACCTCCCACCACCAGCTGTGGACTTCTGATGGTGTGATGGCAGGATCATTGGGATGAGTTGTGGAAGGCAGCCCTGTTCCCTGGCTGAGCAGCTTATTTCCAGAGGAAATGGCACCAGCAACCAGGAAAGGAGCGATCAGATGTGGGCAGAGATGAATCAAAATGCTTTTTATCACTTGCTGCTGGGAGGATGATGTTAACATCAACATCTTCTAGTCTTTAATCCATATACAAGATCTCTGTGAACACCAGTCTATGGTGACGGAACTGGATCAAGCTATGTGTCTGTCATTCTTCAAATCTTGTGTGCCATGAGGACCATAACAGCTGAGGAAGCAGAAATATAGCAGGGAAAATCGTGTTTCCAATAGAAAGGTTCTCTGCTTTTTTTCCCCATGTGCAAACAGCGAGTCACATGTGTCAATGCAGATTAATTTTAGATTGCTTGGAGGTGTAAAAAAAAAAAAAAAAAAAAGCAAAATAAGCAAAGAAACCATAAGGGGATATAGAGTCTCATCGAGAAAGTCATGTATATCATGTTTTGAAGGATCCTCCGTCTTCAATTGTCTTGGAGTTCAGCATTGCTCTCTCCAATTTTGAACAAAATTGAATCTTAACAGTTGCCGAGCTGTGTACGTGATGCACCGCAGGTTGTTTTTCCACATGGCAACTGCAGCTTTATGGATTCCTCTGTTGGGCCTGGCCCTCTGAAGAGCAGACATAAATGAGGGACTGCTCTGCTGAAATGTTATGCTCTGCTTCAAGATTACTCTCATTTGGGGCAAAAATTCGACCACTGGCATTAGGCTGAGCAATATAAAGCCTAAGTACTAATCTGAGGTTTCTTAGTCAGTTCTTGACTTCTCAGACCTTCACTGTTTCACCATCTGCTATAATTGAAAATTGCCTTCTGCAACCAAAGGGAAAATCTAATTTCTCAGCAAGCCATATGGGGTTATTAAGATCATTAAACCCTGGTATGCCATAATGCCTGGGCCAAAAGGACCACAGGGCATGTAAATATTGTGTGATTCATTTTATAGCTTCAGACTACAAGTTAGGAATTGTTTTGATGGCTATCCTTATGATGAAAAGTGGTGGTCAAGTATGTTACCACAGATGTTGTTTGGTGAGGTCAACCCATAGCACGTTTCTTCAGAGCTGTGACAGATAAGTGCTTTTAATAGTTTGGTTGCAAAGAATAAATATTTTATATCTGCCTGACAAATATTTAGAACCCAAGCAGTATTGTCAAGTGGGCCAGTGATGCTAAAGGCAGTCTCACATTTTGATATTAAGAAACCTGAGGACACAGTTGCCGGTTTTCAGGTGAACCCAGACTTTGCTCCTCAAACAGGATCTCTATAGAAGGATTCTATCATCTAGCTGATGACAGAAAATGTACTGCCTTTCCTTTTTTTAAGAATGGGAAAGCTATCCCCATGCAGATGCTTGTTCTTGAATATTTTTATAACTGTGCTGCTGGAATTTTCCTCTAGTTACTTGTGGTATTTCATAAGATTCCTTCCAAGCAAAAACCGCTTATATATATTTGATACAACTATGTATGAGAATATTAAAGCTGATTTTTGGTTAATAAAGCTTCAGAAATGAATGCAGGAGCTGTGAAATTTACATGAAATTAAAGAAAGAATAGTTCAGTAAATGCAAATAAATGCAGAAATGAATATTTTAATTTGGATTCATGATTAATACCAAAGGATTACCAGCAAACCATTAAAATGTAGTGATGACATAAAAACTCAATGGGAATAAAAATCCTATATGCACTATTTAACTGATGGCAGTAAGCTATTTTTAGTAGGAGAGCTGAGAGTAATTTATTTATTCTTTTTGAAAAATATAGCTGTTGATTATATTTCAGGTTTTGTCTTCATGTAAATGACATCTCAGAATAGTTTTTACTGGCATACTCTGTGTATTAGTTCCTGCATTTTACAGTGTAACAGACATGGTCATTAGATTTATTCCCATTCTGCAAGTTATAAAATGAATTATATTGAAGACAGGCATTACTGATTGCCACTTTTCTTTGTGCTATGTAACGAAATGTTAAGTACAGATTGTTATAATTATGTGTAAGAAAAGAAGAATGAAATTTTTTTCCCTCCTTGGATTGCCAGTGATCCCCATCTGACTGCATTTATTTTCACTGTAGATCATGGTTTCTGGGTTTCTGTAGGTCAAGGTTTCTGTTTTAGGACCAAAGCATGTCAAGATAGGTTTTAGTTTCCATAGCACTGCTATCACTACCTCTTCTCATTCTAGCATTCTTGGAAATCACAGTTAGGAAAAGAGATCATTATTACCATTTATCCAGATGTTGCAGTCCAGTCAAACCTTGTCTCTCTTTCTCTCTCTTTTTTTTTTTTTTTTTCCCCTAGCATGGTCTTTGAGAAGCTATGAAAAAATGTGGTTGTTTTTTAGTGTGTATAAGGAGCGTGTGTTTTTAACAGGAATCTCTCAGTTTTCCCCACTTCCTATGCTTTGGGTCCCCTAACAGACTACTCCACCTGAAAAGAATATGGGCTGTGTGCCTGATAGATGTGCCCTGGAGAGCACCTTCTGTGCCCTAACTACTCATGGGCATTCAGGACATCAACCCAGCATGGTCCTTGGAGCTAGTCTGAAGATGCACCACAAGTTGCGTATAGGCCTCAGGTAGGCTTCATAGACAAAAAGTGCTTGGGAAAGGGGTAGAAATGAGTGTAGAAGAGAGATGAAGACCTTGTCATTATGTCAGGATTCTCAGGTTCTCATGGCTTTGTTTGCTTGTAGATAAACGAACCTGCTGCCGTGATGGCGTCACATTGCTATTCCAGTGCATTGTTCTTTGCCGCTGTCTCCTGCGAATTAGGCATAAGCATGTGGTTCCTCTTTTGGTGTAACTACTCTTTTGTACTTGCATTCATTTGAGATGATTGTGTGAGAAAACTCACCCTGCGCTAATTGCAGTGTCCATCCTAATACATCTTGTACAAGGGAAGAAATGAACAGAGACCTCAGTAATGAAATGCTGCTGGCAGGACATGCATGCGCTTAACAGAAACTACCGTTATGCCTGAATGCTAATTAAAGGCAGCACAAACCCAGCAAAATCCTAACTCATTTGAAATTAATGGGACTTTCAGCTCCGCCATGTGCAAGCTTTGTTTCTGGCTTCTTTATGTGTTGGTGTGGTGCAGCCTTTGATGTGGATCACAACTGAGCTCATGAAGGAATTATCTAATGAAAATAATTTTAAGTCATCCCTGACCTAATCTGGCTTTAAAAAGATCAAAACCTCATAATATTACGGCCATATAATGCTGGGTATGTTTATATTTGCCTAGCTTCAATCTTGAGGGTGCCCTGAACTATCTATGCGACTCATCTGCATATCCTCACCTACTGCATCATCAAAGCAGTAAATGTATACGTGGTTATTGCAGCTTAATGCCTCAAATTCTGAGAATTACTCTGCCCTAAGCATCAGTGACGTGTTAGTAGTGGTTTATTGATTTCTCTATTCTGATTATTAGACTGATTATTCTTGCACAAGATGTATTCATAGTATTTTTTTTATTACTATTTTTTGTTTCCACTCTTAGCAGCCTATCTAATCGATCTTCATTCTTACCTGTGTGAATGATTCAGAGCAAGATCCGGCTTCCCCAGTTTTAAGTAGCAGGTTACAAGTTTTGTCTCAATAAAACTGGCAATACTGGAAATATCTTCTGGAGATGAATCAAAGGGTTTGCCTGTAGCAACACCTTTACTGCAAAGCTTTACAAGAAACAAAAGCATTGTTTACTAAAGTTATAATATGTTTTTTCTTAGATAGAAATGCACTTTGTAACTGATAAATGGAGAAAACTGACTTCTAAGTAAAATATACCCTGACCTTAACTACAGTTAGCACTACAGAAATCAGTACAAATATATGTGAACATAAAATAAAATGCAATGGCATCTTCCCTGAAGGGATAGTCAAAAGAGCAGATAATAAGCTAAAAACTAAAAAGCACTGTTAAGGAAGAGATTATATTTTACCCCATTTTCAAAATCTAGGGCTTGTCTCCAGGCTCCCAAAATCTGTGGCCGTCTTGAGACTATGTTTGAAGGAGTCTCAGACAGCTATTTTCTTATTTCTGCACAGCCACTGCTGAACTTTGCCTTAGTCCTACAGCTAGGAAAGTAGAGAGTGATGCAAGTCAAAGAAGCCCCAAAGAATCTCCACCCCTCATTAAATGTATGGCTTCTCCTTCCAGAAAGCTGTTACAGAAGGTAGAGAGGATGAGATCAAACATCTTTCCCATCTTCTCAAGCCATATAGAATTTAGCAGAGAGAAAGTTTTTTTTTTTTTTTTTTTTTTTTTAGAAAAAAGATGATACTTTTCTTGATAGATGAATCACCTGTTGTTCATCACAGAAAAGTATTTAATCAGAAATTCACTGTATTTCTATAATGAGCATTATTAGAATTAGGTAACTCACAACTCGTTAAAGTTTTGGAGAATATTCAGCATTGGCAGAGCAAACAAACTTGGCAGAACTACCTTTCATCCTCAAATCCTTGTGCTTTTTTAATCTTCAGGCAATCTGATTTTGTAATGCCCAAAAGTACTAAAAATTAGCTTTTAGTTCTTAAGAAAATTCAACTGTAAGCAATTAGATACAACTGTAAACAAATAGATTAAGTCTAAGAGCTTTGTCTTTAAGGACAATAACTATACAGTGCTACTAATGGAAATGCAATTGAACGTCCTTTGCTTGGATAAACATCTCTAACGGGATTGTTTAGTGCGCAATGATTTCATCTGCCTAAGTGACTTCACTGCAAATCAACTTTAAAAGCAGATTTCTAATGAAGATTAACAAATTCATATTTAGCTAGGTTGTGTGCTTAATCTCTCAGATCACATGCAGACCGGTGCTGCGGACCCTGAGAGCATTGCTGTGCAGCTGCAGGCTGTTGGGGATGAATGCAGCTTCTGCGTTAAAAATGGTGTATAACCAAGGGACTTGCACTTGAGTCCATTTCTGCCAGTCACCAAAGCTTTAAAATGGAAGGAGGAGGATATAGCCTGCTTGCCTAGCTCCTCATCACTAAGAAGTTTAGTTACACTAATTAGTTTCTTGTAGTTTCTTAGTTAACATCCAGTGGCTGATCTTTATGAGGTGCAAGGTCAATTCAGCAGTTGAGACCTCTTTAGAAGATTAAATCCGTCAAGAAAAAAGCTCATCTACGTATGCATCTTTCCTCCTGCACGGAATCCTTCAAAGCAGGAAGGATTACAGACCCACATCCAGCCTTAGCACCTACAAAGCTAACCCCATCTTTAGGATTTTGTACATTGGTTAGAGATCAGCTCAATTCTTTCCAGTCAAGGGTCATTCAGCAAAGTGTCCCCCTAGTTCAGGTGTGATAAGTATCCTTTTTTTTTTTTCCACATCTCCTCTCTGCTGTGAAGTTACACAGTGTATATAATAACACCCATACGTTTAAGATTTTCTATCATCTTGTTATCAGTAGAAGTTATAAATCAGAGAATTCATCACTTTTAACTTTGCTCATGGTGCCATATATATCTGCTGAAGTGTCTCTATGGGTAAGACATGCTATATGTACCTAAAAGACACAGAGAATTATGTTCACATCAGTGAACATAAAAGTATCATCAAGTTTTTTTGTAATAACACTTTTCAGCTGAATTGGCCATGCTGTGACCTCTGTTAAATTTATGGGAATTAGAGCTTTGAGGCTACTCCCTTGACTTTCAAGTTCTTGAAGGATTGTGAGAAGAAAAGAATCATTTAAGGATCCCTTCAGTATAAAGTGCCACAATTCAGACTTTCCTTGATTCTTCCTGCTGATATGAGGAGTTATGTCTCGACTCGTGTAACCCCTCAGTTATCTTCAACAAAAGGCAAGACACAAGTCTCTGTAAACCATATCTAAATAAATAAGGATTTAGCAAATATCCTTAAATACAGTGAAGGCTGGGTTCTGCCAGGTCTCCTCTGAGTGATCTCAGAGTAACAGTTCAAACAAACAAATAACTCAGTGTTTAATCTCGCAAAATCAGAGCGATATTTCAAGGGGTTTTGCTTCTGTTTGTGACCATCTAAGCAGTCTATGTTTTAGATCAGAAATTGTCTCATAGGGATTTTTTTCTGCAGCATTTCTGCTGTTGATCTATGGGCTTGAGGTGGGCTCCTTCACTCTAATTCCATGCAAAAAACAACAGCTTGCACCAAAAGCAAGATTCATCCTAATTGCACAGAAATGTCTCCTTTTGTGCTTAGCAGAAAGGTCGTGGATATACAAGATAGCCCTAGTGTCTTCTATAAGTGAAACGTGCAATAAATTAAATGGCAGTGGTGGTATAAGGGACTGGTTTTGGTAGTGATATAGACACTGCTGTGAAGGGTTTTTGTTGGGCAAAACACCTCAGTGCAGCCCTGCAAGCACATCAAATTCTGAAAATTATAACTTCGAAACTTTTTTATTTTTAACTTTGATAATTATAACTTTGGTATTTGTTTCTTCAGCCTTTACTGTATTTTGCTGACCTGTTGGTAAAAGGACTTGAATGTGCAATGGGAGAGATCGTTTCTTTGCGTTGTCCTGTCTGCTGCTGAACACTGAATGAGAGGAAGGGCTCTGGGAGGTGAGGCAAAGGCAGTGCCTGGAAGCACTGGGGAAGCTTCCAGGGAAGGATTTAGGTGGGTTATCACACTGGTCTGCATGTGATCTGTTATCTTGAAGGACAGAGACAGGGAGCTGGGATCTGGCAGCACAGATGGGGATGAGGAGAAGAGTTCTAGAAAGACTCGCATCTGAGTTTCAAAGGGGAAGAGAAAAAGGACAATTTCCTAGGGATCCAAAGGAAGCTCTGCAGCTACAGATTGTAATTTTGGGAAAACCTGTTGGACTGAGAGCAAGGGAAGAAAGGCTGTGCCATGCACAGACATAATGAGCAGGGAGGAGATTTGTTTGCAATTTTCATGTCTCACCCAGCAGCACTGAGTTTTCTTTGTCCTGCTGCAGTCTGCAGCCCAGTAACACTACCTTTGAAGATCAAAAGGGCTGTTAGTGTTTTTGGAGTTCTTGCTTTAAGTAAAAGGTAAAAGCAGCTCCATCTCACTCCTCTGAATACCTGAAGGTCTTGTCACAAGGACATTCAAATATAGATGCAGGCTTGGAGAGGCAGTTAAATTTTTTACCATTGAGGGTTTCTTTTCCCAGAGCTATGTCACTGAATTTGATTTTAATTCCATGCTGGGAAATTTGGGGGTACATTTTAACTAAGACTTTGGTGCACTTTCGGGTCTGCAGAAATCTTGCCAATGTCTAAAAGGTTATAGATGCTATGAAATTGAAGGAAACAACCTAAACATGTGAAGTTTTAAAGCCAATCTGGGGTTAAAAACCTGCAACAGTACCATTTTACAGCCTTTACCATAGCTAGCAAATGTAACAGTATTTTTCACTTGCAGACTTAATTTACCTGAGAGTACCCCTGTCAGTAGACAGGAATGTTTTTCCAGAAATAATACTGAATTTTAAAAATTCTGCCAAAGGATATATCTGTTTTCATAGGAGCCCTTGTTACGAGTGGAGGTTTTGTGTACGTGGAACATGGAAACTTCAGAAGTCTGCCCAGTTATCCTACTCAAAGAATTACCTTCTGTGTAAATGAGGTATTAGGAATGGAAGTGCTACCTGCATTTTTTTTTTTTTTTTTGTTAATGGGGAACTGACGCTAATTATGTTATACTTTTACTGATAAAGGAGGCTTCTCTTTCAGAGTGTTTGAGCCTATAACTGTATTGCTGAAAGCATGGTCATATAAATGCTTGTGATAAAGTACTTTGTCAAAGGTCACCAAACAAGTCTGTGACACGGCGAACTTAACATAGATCTTGCTGTGGAATTAAGGCTTTAATTCTGGCAGTAGCAAGCAAAGAAATTTTATGAGTAAAGACCTCCCAGGCATTAGCTAACGAGAAAGAGAGGAAAAGATTTTCCCCAAACCCACCATGGCTTTGGTGAAAGACCAGTGGAAATGCTGGTCTGGAAGGTAGGTGTTACATCTTAGTGTGGGTATTATTTGGAAAAATAAAGCTAGAGCTCTGGTGATGCCTTGCTGCCAGAGCTGTGTCACTGAAAGCAAGGGAAAGGTTCAGCTGTACAAAACTGGCAAAGGCAGCAGTCTGCTAATTGTTGCTATAGGCTTGGTGTATATTCAAATCAGGAATACAGGTTGTCTTAAAGAATTAGAGTCTTCATAAATAACTGTACAGTTTGCTTAAAAGAATTAGATACCCAATACATATCTATCTGTATGTGTATAGATACATATCTGATAGCAAATTTAGCTCCGGAACTGCCTGGAAAAATGAGTAAATTTGGTCAAATGGTGTGTTTCAATGACAGTCTTCAGCAATTTTGAGATCAATCGTGCTTTCTTCTGCCAGAATGAAAGGGTTAAGGGCAAGTTTGAATATAGCAGTAGCAGTAACCTGCTGGCCTTGCTGGAGCTGATTGCCTTGATTTTTTTTCTTTTTTTTTTTCTTTTTTTTTTTTTCAGCAGAGGACTGTTTAATCATGTCTCTCTGTTTTAGAGATAACTTTGTGGATTTCCCTGGAGTGATTTTAGAGTGGCTAATCAGAGGGACAAACCTGAAAAGGCAAGAAATATTTAATTAGAGTCTTTTCTTCTGACTAGCCAACAGTCCTAACCAGATGCCTTCACTCCAGAGCAATCCAAGTACTCAGC